CAAGGCGATCAAACCGGTCAGTCCTAGAGGAGATCAATCCTGACTGCTCTTTAGGAGGCCAGATACTGAAGATGAAACTCAAATACTTTGGCCACCTAATGAGAAGGAAGGACTCCCTGGTGAAGAGCCTAATGCTGGGAACAATAGATGGCAAAAGACGGAGCAGACGGCAGAGGATGAGGTGGCTAGATGGAGTCACTGAAGCAGTTGGTGTGAGCTTGGATGGACTCCGGGAGATGGTGGAGGACAGGAGGGCCTGGAGGAATGTTGTCCATGGGGTTGCGATGGGTCAGACACAACTTCGCGGCTAACAACAACAAGCCAACCAGGAGAACCTTCAAGATATGGGGCGGCATAGAATGGAAATAAATAAATAAATTTGCTCTTGCCCACAAACTTTGAAAGTCTACAAGTGATGAGAACAACTTAAGATGATCTACTGATACAGTTATTTGTGCATGATGGAGGACCGAGGGGAAAAGTTTTCTTTGATGATTTCATGCTGCAGAAATGTAGATAAGAAACTGTGCCTGAGGGACAATAGGCTGTTCCCAGACACTTCCCCCGGGGCACTTGTTGCTGTCCTGAGTGCAGGGAGGAATGTATTTGCATGAGTGCTGAAGAAACAAGTCGGACATCATGTCGTGGGCTCAGACCATTGGTCCACTCTGCCCAGGAGTGTCTGCTTTGGCAGGGGACATCACTCATATCTGAAGCAAGTTCCTAGTCTTGTAGCCTCCAATCCTTTACCTGAGGAAAGGGAACGTCTCCTTTTGAGGTTCCTGTTGCCTTGGCCAGAGCCTGCCGGGATTCACATTCCAGCAGTGACCAGAGCTAAGAGTTGACTCTCATGTGCTTTCTGTATGCAGACTGATTCAAAATCCCATCAAAAGGGATCTGACCAGGATCTTCAGCTAGGTGTGCACATCTCATGGGTTGGCTGTATGCTGAACAACCCATGGTATTCCCGACAGACAATTGTGCAAGCTGTACATTTCCTCTAGTCCTCCTGCTAGCTCAGGCACATTTCCCAGGAACCTTTACGACACAACTCTTAGTCCTTTTCTGTGATTGCTCTACGGGGTACTGAGGGAAATTCCCCCTACCCTACTTCTGTCTTAGATGGTCCAATTTTTGGAGCCCATATGAATACAGGAACTTATTTGCCAGCTTTTTCCCCCAGCAGAATTTCACTATAGCACTGAGACCTACTTCTCAATATTTAGAGCAGCAAAGTAACATCCCTCTCTAATCAATTTTATCCACCATCTGAGAGCCCACCTTTTAAAAGTCTGCTTACTTTGCACTGAAGTAAGAACACCAACGCGCAAAGCATATTTCCTCCAGCCAGGAGTGTTCCTTCCCCAGCCCGTTCCAGCCTGTTGCCTCCTCGTGTTGCTAGCATCTCATGTTGATATTTCTGATTTTTGGGGACATGGGACAGAGGATGATGAGAAGGGCTGAGGGAGGATGTCAACAGCATGAGCAGGGGGAATGGCCCAGATATTTGCTTCGTGGCAACCTACCATAAGCTGGTCCTGCTGGGTTTGGATAACACAACAAGTCACCATGGGTATGAACAAACCTAACACAAGCCATGGCTGGCTTGTTCTGCTAAGAAACTCCCTGCAGAAGCCATGCTGGCTTCACCACAGCTGATCACCCATGCTGGCTTGCCATGTCATCCAAATCCGTCACAATCTTTCCTGCCCTCCAAGTCAAGTTACAATCTGAGCCACATTCCCCATCATTTCCAATAGAAAAGAGATTTGTATACCATCTGAAAGCTGTTTGAGGTTTGGCTTTCAGTGCCTGCAGTCCTGTGAGAATGGGACTGTGTGCTTAATCACCTTGAGATATTTCCTTGTACCTCTGAGTGGGTGGGGCCTGCAGAACTGCTGACTGTGTCCCTGGGCTGGAGGCGGAGCTAATAATTTCACCATACCAAATACAAAGATGGACCAGGTACACCCACCTGGGGGGAGGGGGTTGAAAGGTGCTTGCTCACAACTGCTGTTTGCCAGGTTGGGAGCTTTCTCAAAATGTTCCAGCAGGTATGGAGGTGAGTGGATCTTAAAACTCCTTGTTTATGGTGGGGATCCAAGAAACAGTGGGAGAAAAGCAAAGTGGCAAAAATTAAAAGGGGATGTCTCAAATTCTTTGAGAAGTGAATTTATTCTTTCTGATTTTTTCTCTCTCGGCTATCGTGGCACAACACATTAAAGCATACTGCAAGGTGTGCTGAAAGGAGGAGAAGAGTGACCAGAAGGGAATGACTTTGTAACATCCTCAGCATATAATAAGGGGGAAAAACGAAAACAAAACGGGCAATCTTTCTAGATAGCCAATTGGTGACCTCTTGACTGGATTCTGGGCTGTCAGCTCCTTCTCTGGCAAAGGGTTGCTGTTCTCTTGTAACTAAGTGGCGGGCACATGTGATAATATCAGGCAATGAGGGTAGAGACTAGAATTATTTCTTAGGGGCTTGAACCTGTTTAGAGAATTGAAGGCAGCCAACCAAATAGAGGACCCTGGGAGGGAAATTACATACTTTTAACTGAAGAATGGTTTGTGTTTTTTTGCTGTTTGGTTGTAAACTTTTTGTAGTGTTCATATATAGCGCTTGCTACCACAGAAAATTTTGCGTGTTCCTTTTCTGTGTAACATTTCAACTGTCCTGCTTTTCCAATAAGTTTATGTTATGATATATAGATAGTTTTAAGCTTCTGTCTTAGATTTTGTTGATGATATTTGGAAGTTACTTTTAATCCTGGTTTAGGGTGCCACTTTACATATTCACGGCAAAACATTTGTGGATAGCAAAGGAACTGAATGTTTATCCTGCTTCTCTGGCCCAGGTACTTAGATATTCAACCAGAAATATTTGCTACAAGCATGTTACTCTTTCCTGGCTGTATTGAGCTGACTTTGCCAGAATTCTGGCTTATGGTATTGACTTTGGATTGTTGGCATTGCCACTACTATTATTACTAGAACATGGAGATCCACCAAACAGATGCTGGTGGAACAGAACGTATACACATAGAAATAAATAATTTTAGCCCAGGAAGAATGTTTTAAACTAAATGATGCAGCATTATGTCTGGTTGCTTTAAGCTTTCCTCACTTGGGTGCTATAATTTAAGGTGTGTGGTGGCTGGGGCCAGGGGGAGTTATCTTGTTGCTGTTACTGTTATGCAGTCACGAGTTGGAAGTCTTTGCCAAGCTACACCAAAGAAGTAGATAGCCATCAGTACATATGCAGGACTTTTGTGAATGCCTGCAAACAATGCAATGTGCTTTTGCAAGGGTCACCCAACACATTGCCATGCCAGAGGCATAGAATAACTCCTTATTCCATCATACTAATTTAACAAGTGGCTATGCACATGGATTAATTGAAATTCTGTAGGTGCCAGTGATTAACTGTATCAGGGGAGAGCCAGGTTTAAATCGTCACTTGTCCGAAGACCCTCAGTGAGATTCAAGGCAAAGTTGTTGTCTCTTAACCAGCCTAATCACTACATAGGGTTGTTGTGAGCATAAAATGGGAATGGAAAGAGTGCCTTAGCCTCAGAGAAAAGGCAGGCTGCAGACACAAGAGATAATAAATGAAATAACCAAGAGCAGTAGCAAAAAGAGCAAGCCTCTTGTGGTGCCTTTTAAAGTTAAAAAACTGCCATGGAGCAGAACTCACTTTGCATGATTAATGAAGAGGTAACCTAGGTCAGCCTTCCCTAACCTTGTGCACTCTAGATATAAAGGGCTGCTTCATGGTTTAGAGATGATGGGACTGGTAGTCCAAATATTGGAAGAAGGTGCTGACCCACATAGATAATGATGCATCTAGTACAAAGACAAGGAATGGATTCTTTTTAACAAAGCAAGATGAAGGTATGTTGTATAGAGTGCATAAAGAAAGAAGTCGCACTGTTGCCTCAATGCTAAATGTGACCTTTGAAAATGTTCCAAAATTCAAAGTGGGACTTTGAAGATGTTTGGTAAATTTCAAGCTTGTGCAAATTGCAGTTTAGCCTTTTCTGCATGAAGCATAGACTTGAACTAGTATTCCTTATTAATTATGATAGAATGTAAGTAAATATTTGATTTATGTACATATTTCATAGCTGGCTCATAAGAACTTACAAAGCAACCCTTCCTTGCAGCTTTCTCCTTTGCAAAATCTTCTGGAAATCTGGATAAAGCTATAGAAGCAGCTTTTCCTTATTCACAGTGATAGCACCCGGACTTCAACAGGTTGCTTTTAAACTGTCATGGTGAGAAGCTCACCGAGTCAAATGGAATTTACATTGTTAACTGTGTTTTATTAGTGTTTGGGAGACTTTGTTCCTGCTGTGAGCAATTACCAATATTTTTTCATTACAAGGACCTTCGGTTGAACAATCAATGCCGATTTTGTTAGGAAACTGATTCTTGATTCTGCTCTCCCATAGAAACAAGAATTGCTTTTTCCTAATCTTGTGTGTGACTGTGATTTCGTACTCTTACTACACAATCAGATGGAGGCAATCCAGACGTAAAACTGACAGGAACTCTTTGGAAACCCCATTTCCACTTAAGCTTTTGCCAGATGAAAAGTACAAGTCCATGTTTCAGTTTGATGGAATCTGGTAAGTTCTTTATGTGCAACTTTGCTTTTAAGAGCATTTAGATTAGAAACAGGATAAAAACTAGGGGCACAATGCTATGCAAATTCAAAAATGGCCTGGGCTTTGCCAGCTGGGATATGCTCAGAGCAGTAGGCCTTTTATCTGTATGAATTTGCATTAGAAGGGTGATGTGATTTAGCTGAGATAAGAATAATCCTTATGATTGTTCCAGTGCAAGATTTACAAAAATTATTGATTCATCCGGTAAAACTTTTGGTTATAAATTACATAATACTAATGCAATGTGATGTGATGTATACAGAAACCTCCAGGGACAAACCAGTTTAATAGACAGACCATCTTAACCACCACCCTATAAATTTGGGGCTTTCCTCCAAGTGTCAACTCCAAGGGAAGCAAGAAGCTGAAGAACCATTCATCCCTGATAGATTTCAATTACTGGTTTAATATTGCTGCCTGATTAGAGTATTGGGCAAGTTCAGCTATATATTCCATTTTTATGTTGGTGAGAGGTATTACAAGTGGCGGCCCAAAGGCTGGGCTGGATTTACCTTCTGATTGTGGTGAAAAAGATATTCTTGTATTCTCTGTATGCACTATGAAATTACTGACGGGTCCAGGTTTAGGCACATCCCTCTGCGCTTGCAAAATGGGTTTCCCTGTTACGCCTCCTGCGCAGCAGCTCCTCTGCCCCCAAAAAAGCTTCAAGAATGCTTGCAGCTGACTGATGAAAACCCTCAAGCACCAGCTACCGGCCTATATTATCAGAGTCCATGATAAGAAAAACCAAAGAGAGAAGCTACACTGGGAGTGTACAATCAAAAGAACATCTGCGGTTTATTCAGACATACAGGAAATACATGCAGGGTGTGGGCAGCCCTGGAAGGCACTACCAAGGTGGAGTCTGCACAAAAAGCGTTTACAGTGGTATTTTGGCTCACCAACTTAATTTCGTTCCACGACTCTCGTCATGACCCAAATTGGTCATCAAGTCAAATTTCCCCATAAGGTTCAATGTAAACAAGGTTAATTTGTTCTGCAACTATTAGTTTTTTAATCACAAAAATTTGAAACAAAGTGACAAAGAACAACAAAGATCACAGCCATCTCTCGCCCACCACCCCGAGCACGAGCATGCCCATCTCCCCCCCCCCCCCGTGCCCGCAATCGCGCCTGTCATCCCTGCATGAGCGCGATCACATTAGCGGACATAGACGGGCACAATTGTGGGCGCGCTTGGAAGGGGGAGACGGGTACGATCGCGATCGTCACCTGATGCAGAGTTCGTGTCCTGAGGCAAAATTTTCCAGAAGTTTCTGTTCGTGACCCGATTTGGTCATGAACTGAGACGTTCGTGAGCTGAGCTACCACCGTATAACCAGAGGTCAAATGGCCGTTTGTCCTCAGCAGCACAATATGACTGTTGTCAGGACCTGAACTTACAGCTGGCATTTTCAAGCATTTCCAGGCTTGAAACATGGAATATATACTTTCCCAAGTATATATCTGAACTATTTTGAGAAAAGCTGCAAATATATGATCAACTTCTATCCAGGATGGCTTGGCAAGGTTTGTGAACGGTGCAGCAGGACTTTGAACTATGGCTCCCAGGGTCTCTGAGTCTTTGAATGGCCAAGGACTGATGTGGTGAACGAACTGATTGGAATTTTGCAGAGAAGAGACAGAGGGTGATTCTTTCTGCCAGTTGCCAATTTCTTTTCTTTCCTCCCACAACGGACAAGCATCAGAGGAATTTTGAGGGAAGCTATGACATGTCATTGTGGATATTGATTGAGATTTGGTGCAGTTTGGGGACATCATGACTATTGGAGTGAGGAAGGGAAATACTGGATTTCAGCCACCTGGATGTTTGGGACCTTTGACTCTTCTATCTTAGTGTTTTAGTTGAGCCCAGTGGAAAGAGGGGAACTCTGGCATAGATGATCTTACGGCAGAGTACTCACAGTGTGATTGGCACCATCTGCTGGATTTGCCACAAGACTGCAGACCAGAGATATTGAAAGAAATGTTTAAGCTAAGAAACTAAACCAATCAAATAATATCAATGAATTAATATTTTAACAAACTGGATTTAGAGTGTGATTAATCAACCTAGCATTCATAGTTAATAACTTAACGTATTAAATCCTTGCTTTCTGCTTCGTTCCCGCTTTCCTCCTTTCTTCCTCCTCCTTTTTCTTTCTCTCCTCTATTAAATGAATTGAAACTATTCTTTTAAATGAGAAAAACATCGCTTCCTAAGTTTTGGAATATATTGAAGATTTAGACTCTCTGAGATAGTAAGTAACAAACTGTATGAGATATATACCCAGAGGAGAGGAAATAAGAAGAAACAGAGAATGGCTTCAACCAGGTCTAAAGAAAGGAAGAAGATTGAAGTAGCTGACTCAAGATTTTAATCTTATGGACAAGTTCCAAACATTAGTAAAACAACAAACTCAAGTAGTTCCTAATCAAATCCAAACACTTGCAAGTCACTTAAAGCAATTTGAGCAATTTCACTTGCAAAAGTGAAACAGAAACTACATCCTTAAGATAAGAATTACAGCAAATGATATCAGATTTTAGTAAGGACATTCAAGAAAATTCAAAAGAAATTACAGAACTCAAAGATAAACAAGGAAAAAGTGAAGTACATCTAGAAAGACAAGATTTAATGTCAATTGAAAGTCTGAGCCAAAGAATAGAGATTTTGGAAGTTGAAAGAAGAAATTCTAATTTATGTTTCAGAGGAATTCCAAAAGATCTGACAAGAAAAATCTGGCAGATAACTTCTGCAAAATTATTCAAATATTCAAGGAAATTTCCCAGATGCAAAGAAACTGACTCAGTGCACACTCATTTTGTGCAAGAACCACTGTGAATTATTTCCCTCTGTAACAATGCAGAATTGGTGCATAGGACAAGTGCCTGCAAAGAATTTATGCAGTGAGTTGCAGAAATTGACAGAGACGGTCTCAACCAGGAGAATGACTGGTGCTGTCCCTGAGCTATGATATCAGTGTGGACCGACTCAGTTATGACAACATTTGTGTAATGGCAAAAATTATGTAATTTATGTAACGGCAGCTAATATTTGGTAAAATTTAGGCAGAATATGAATGGACAGATGGTAGGCTAATACATGTAAACATCCTCTTGTGTTACCAATGTTTCTGTAACCCAGCTCATCTTAGAAAATTGCCCAAATAATGGAGGACAAGAGAGAATTCCTCATAGCTAAGGAAGTCTTACTTTGGATTTGCAAACCTGATGGAACAGGTTGAATACCTTACAAATATGTGTCTTCATGGGAGTCAGGCAAGACATTTTTGTCCTTTCCCACTCTCCCTCTATGTTGGAAGGGGCCAAGAAGGCCACCAAGTCCAACCCCCTGCTGGTGCAGGTCACCAGTTTCCACCATCCACTCATCTGAAGGAGCATCCTTCCACCCAGTGCCTTGGCCAGGGCTGCTTCACCCATCCACATCCACCTGATGCAGGAGAGATGGCGCTTGCCCTCCCAGTTGGGATGCAGGTGAGTGCACTCAGAATCCTCACCTGCCCAAAAGGAAGGAGCTCCAAGGAGGGATCTCAACTGAGGCCCCATAAGCCAGACAGGCCAGTCTGGCAGGCCAAATTATTCCATGGGCCAGAAGTTCCCCATTTTTATTTATTTAGAAAATTTATTTAGAAAAAAATGGCAGTTAGAGGTACCCAGATGGTACCCTAAAGACTAACACTTTTAATGTAACTTACAGTCTTTAGTGGACAGTATCTACTTCATCAGCTGCATTAAGTACAAACCTCAAGTGCATGTAGTATATATGCTTGCAGGACATTGTTAGCAGTGAGGGCTAAGGGTTTGAAATGAAGAAATTCTAGCTGTAAATGTATCTCCTGTAAATGATCATCACCTTCTCTTCTTTCTCCCTCCACACTTGTACCCATTAGGCTAGGACCAAAAAATCACTGTGAGTGTGCCAGAACCAGCAAGATGACGGTTTATCAGTTGGATAACTACATTGATAAAGATAAACTTGCTGCCCTCACAGAACGACGTGAGAAGGAATTCCGAGATTATCAGAGGAGGTAACTTTACCTACCCCAAGCAATATCGAATTATACCCCAGAGCGTGGTCTTGTGGTATTCAAGCTGGTGCCCCCAAATGTTTTGAGCTATAACTCTCATCAGCCCCAGCAATCATGGGAGATGTAGCTCAAAACATTTGGGGGCTCCAGCTCACATACGCTTGTTAGAACCAAATGGAATCATATTTATGGTTTCTCCACTCAAGGTGCTCTTGATCCCTCACACATGGAAATTTGCAGGGCCTTTTCACAACACCGTCATTTTCCAGGGCTTCTCCTATCTTTTTAAACCATTTGTGTAGGTTCTTGTGGAGCCAGGGAAGTCGGCTATTAAAATTCAAACGGGAACAAAAGCCTCATGTAGCATTGCAATTCGGCTAAACTGAGCTATGCCACAGTGCCACCATGTGGTTGGGAGGTAAATATAAGCCCATGTAAAAGACACAGTTTTCCTTGCTTAATGAAAACAGAAGCCCCAATATAAACCAGGAGTTAAACCCCTCATGGAGAGAAGCCCGTGGCATGGATGGGATTTAAGCTTCTCATGACTAAGGGCTTTTCATGGTCCCCCACTCATGGAAATTTGTGGGTCCTTTTCATGGCACTGTTAATCTCTGTTAACCCTAAAGTCTGTCTTCCCAGGACTCTGCCCTGGAACTTCTCTGCAGTGCTGAACTCTGGAATAGGCAAAATATTTTAAACGGGAAGGTCTGTCGCTCAGTGCTGGAGCACACAGATTTGATCCCTGGTGCACCCAAGGCTGGACCTCAGATCTAAAATCTAGGGCCTCCAGAGCCCAGGAGAACTCCCCAAATGACCAGTCAGTGAGTGGCAGGTGCCAAGACAAACTCAACCTTATTCCAGCGATCCCCATCATCTTCAGCAAACAAACAAACAAAAGTCAGTCTACAGCCAGTGCTAGATGTCTTGTTGAGTAGAAAGAAGCTTCAGCCAGGTGTCCCCACGTGATGCTTTGGCACTTTGGGAACCTGGGAAACATTGCCCACAAGCTTTCCTGCCACTCTTGTCCAGGGGCTCTCTGGTGTTCTGACTTGAACATGGGTGAATTTGCTGTCTTGCTTCGGACAACACAAGAAGCCACAGTGGGTTGACTAAATCCTACAGCAGGCCATGGCTAGTTGGGTGATTTATAAGCCAACTAGCTTATAAGGAGTTTGGATAATGAATGAAACCGACAGGGCTTATAAACCACTATATGGCTTAATGTGTTGTCTGAATCCAGGCTTTGTATTTTGTCCTCGCATTTTAGAGTCATTCTTCCAAAGAAGCTGGTTTAAATGCACTGCCACCACCGCACCCTGTCAGTCTTTTATGCTGGCTTTTGAAGTCTTCACAGTTACCTCACTACTTTTGCCGTTTCTGCTTTGGACCCCAGGTATCCACTTGAGACCAAAGATGTCCTTATTGCACAGCCAAACTCTCCTTTAAGCTACCCCTTTCAAGGAGTCGAGGTGATGCCTTTGCATACTGTTATACTTCCAGGTAGGTCATCTGCTGTGGCTAAACCTGCTGCTTGTAGAAATGAAACAATGAGGGATGTTTCAACTGGACTGGCAGAGCTGCTGTAAGGTGAAGAACAAGATGGCGTTGCCCCTTTCTATAAGCGCAACCCAATTGGACCAGCAGCTGCATTGTCCTTCAACCCTGGGCAGGACATCATCTTCTACTGTACCGAAGGACTCTGGAAAAGCCATGGCACAGAGCTCTGACCCCTTCCCCCAACACACACACACACACACCTACCCACCCCTCAGAAGAGTTGCTTGGCCCACGTGGCCCTTGACTCAAGTCTATTTCCCAGAGTCCTAAGAGTCCCAGAGTGCCAGAGGAAGGTTTTGGCTCAGCTCAAATGTGATGTCGGGGCAATTATCCATGGGAATCACAGCTGGGGAGGGAAAGGTGAACCCTCTCTTCCCCGTGTCTCCTATTCCTCCCCTCTGCGTGGCAATTAAGTTTAAGATCTGAAGTGTCCCTTGATGCCAACAGAAAGAGAGCCTCAGGCTTATATCAACTGCACTGCCAGTCTGTTGTTGGTCCTTATCTATCAGACCTAATGTCTTGGCACCAGGATATCAGAATGATCCATAATTCCCATATGGATGGGCCTGCAGTTAAGATTATCTTCCTGTATGTCTCACCACCAACACAGGAACATGGGATAAGGTTTACCACATGGCAGCATCCCACCTGTAGAACCTTTTCTAAAGGGAGATCACACTGGCTCCTTTATTCAGTTCTAGGCACGCCACTAAAACATTTTTCTTCCATATAGTTTGTTAGTGTTCATGTTTCCGGATACAAGGTTGGAAACAGAGATCCAACGCTGGAGCTGGGATCCCTCTTCCCTCTCCCAGGCAGCTGGCATGGAAAGGACCATGCTTCTTGGGGGTTCTGAGGGTGACCACAGAAAGGAGTAAAAGGGGCTGGGCAGAAGGCCAGGAGACCAGGCTGCTAGGATGCGATGCACCCTGGCAGTACGCCAGCTTCTCTGCCCCCCTAGGTGGCTGAATTTGGCCATTTAGCTGACTTGCAGGATAGGGAGCACCAGCGAGGCAGAGATCACCCCAGAATCCCCCCTCCCACCTGGACAGGATGCCCCTAGGACTCCGAGGTCCGGGCTCACAGGCGTCTCGACTGGATCACCTGTGAAGTGTGTGTGTTAGCTCAACACTTCACTGTTAAGCTGTTCTCCTGTTCTTAAGGTTGCTGTAGGGGGTGTTTGAAAACATTTACATTGTTTAAAACTGTGCTTGTGTTTTAAAGTTTAAACGTTGTTCTTAGTTTTAATTGTTCAAACCTCATTCAGGCTGAAAGGCAATTTAGTTGCATTGTCTTATTGCACTCCCTTGCACAAGGATTACTAGAGCTATTGTCCTTCGCTCTGGATAGTTTCTTACAGAACCTATGTTAGGTTTAGTCCTTTGGTGTATCTGTAAGAACGAATGTTGGCGAAATCTGCAACAGATTCAGATGAGTGAACGGTTCTATGAATCTCTCTTGTGGATTTCTTTCCTTTTTTTGGCAGTACTTTTTTATTAAATTTTAAAACAGTACTAAAAACATCAATCACCACAAACATCGGAACTACTGAGTCAGCCCCTTACTACATATCTTTTAACATTCTATCCTCTTGTGGATTTCTTAGCAGATCAGATCTTTCCAAGTTGCATGGATTTCATAGAAGAATTTTTTTTAAGTTTCGGAGGGTATGTCCACTAATACACACTTGCACAAGTAAAACAAAATTCACAGATGTCCTTAAAAACATCTGATTTCATCTGTAGATGAGAGGTGCCAGACAATCCATGAAACACACAGGGAACAGACTGAACAAAATCCATACATCCCTGCATGGTACCACACTGAAATCTGAGCACAGAGCTCATTTCTCTCATAAACAGCCCCTTTGTATGGGCAGGACTTCAGGTTCAAAGGACCTAGTTTCTGGTCAGGCCTGATCATTTGAAATCTCTTCTTTTTAGAAAGAAAAACATGCATTCATGTTCTACTTTCCTTAATTTCTCTTTTCCTAGCTGCTTTGTCATAGGACTAAATCCAATCATTTAAGTAGTAATTATACATTAGTCTTGTTTTTCCTTTCAGGTAATCAGCAGGTTGGAACAAACTGCCATTAGCATTATTGTGGCTTAAAAGGGCTGGTTGATTATTTGCTTAATTATTTCATGCTTTTCATGCTTGAATTTTTTGCCCCATGCGGTAAAATATCTTGGGCTGTCTCTGTTGGAATAGTGAACAAAGGGAGAAGATGATGAAGTGAAATCTCCTTTCTGTCTTTGCTCAGTTTACTTAACTGGGGAAAACAAATACATTGTAAGATGGAGAAGAAAGCTAGTTGGAAGAGTGAAACACAGAAGGGAGAATTTGCAGTGGGTGGAGGTATTTGATGTATGACTTGCTGTTCCCTGTAATTTAAAAGTTTCAGTTTGCTTTACTTCTTGTAGGACTTGGTTTCCATGGAGCAGGTATGGAAGAACAGCAGGTAACTTGGTGTTTCATAGACTTTGAAGTATGTGATCTCACTCTGTCTTTGGGATGGCTTCTCAAGAGAAATGCAAGACTATAGCCATTTTTCATGTCATGATAAACCATGGTTCCTTAAACTGTGGATTGTTTGAAGTGGGAGTGAATGAGCATGCAAATTCTTGATGGTTGCAGCTGGACAAAGTAAATTCCGCAAGGAACCTCCATCCCCGAGTTAATCATGATGATGTCTGAACTTGGAATGATTGATTGTTGGAGGAAAGACAACTCAAGATTAAACCATGGGTTATAAGTCTTCCCAACAATCCACAATTCCAGGTTCAGATGTCACAACAAACAACTAAGAGGAAGAGAGCCCTGGGTTCTTTAGCTCAGCAGAACTGAGTGGATGGCTGGGAACTAGTTCACTTGCTCACTCAGTGGCTTGCTCGCTCCTGCTCATTGAGCACTATCTGGGATTTAAACAAACGTGAAGTTTGCCGACTCCAAGAGGAGGCATTCATGGACAGCCCAAAAAAACTTCCCCCTTCTTTTGCGGGTGGGCGGGGGGGGGGGACTGTTGAGTGACCCATTTCAGTATATTATTTCTGTTCCATGATTGGCTTCCTTCTGCCACTCTTGCCCTATCTTGGCTTCTGCCTTGCCATCTGTTATGCCTTCTGGGCCCTTATCTTTTATCACACACATTTCTTCTTTAATAGCCCAGAATGTTTCCTCAATGGCCACTAATGGTTTGGAAGTATTTGAAGAATTTGCTGTGGTGTTTTGAAGACAAAGAGTTCTTCCAGACTAGTTTTATGGTGCAATCACCTTCCCTCACTGTGGAATTTTACAAGGAATCCTCACAACTTCATGCTCCTAGAATTCTCTTTTGCTTTCCTTCAGCTTCTCTTCTTGTTGTCTTTGTCTTTGTCTTGTCTTTGTCAACAAAGACATTAAGAATGGAAAGCAGCCCAATGTTTTGCTGGTGTGAATAGGAAAATACACTACTGAGGCACAGTGGATGGAGGTGTCCCTGGGGACGGCAGACGGCATGTTTAGGATGCCTCTTCCTGACTTGCACTTCTGGCTGCAAAGTCATTTCATGTAATGCAGGGCCACTCTATTAAAATATATCTTGCCTCCTTCCCTGTGTTTTGCCTCTTTGAGCTTCCTAAATGTCCCTTCTCTCCTGGAATCAAGGAGTTGCAATACCCACCCCCCACAGCATCTGCCAACACAGCACAAATGCACTGCAATTAACTACTTAATCAGAGGATTCTACTCCACCATCTTTTCCCTGTTAATTGATCAAACGCTTATGCAATTCTTTCTAAAGAGATAAAAATACAGAGAGATTAAAATGGGGCTCTTTTACGCTCTGAGTCTGAAAGGCGGGGACCACAGCTTTCTTTCTGCTGAAATGGAAACCTCATATCCAATTTACAAGCAGGAGAAATCAAACCAGCAAATTTTCTATCCCTGTTATGTACAGATTAGCCAGGATTGTGAAACTTGATCAGGTAGTCTAGTAAACTCTGCTCAGGAATTAACTAGGCCAGGGATCAAGCATTCTTGGGGGATATCAGGACATTGTACAGCCTAATCTATATTAGCTTGGGACAGTCCTCTAGCCCTGCGTTGCAGAGACTAGCAGAGCATTTTATGATGGAAGAGCAGAGCCAGCATTTTTAAAAAAGATGTATTTGTGCATTGTTAATGGGAGCAAGAGGCAGCAGAAATTGTTCTCCTGTTTGAGCTGTGAGCAAGGGGGCAGCCTTCTGCAGGGCTCCTGTTTAGTCCATTGAGGAAAGGAGGGGGCAGCCCATGGATGCCTTAAGTGGAAAAGGAACAAAGCTCTTAGAGCAATAGCAGCTTCGCATCTGGAAGCGCTCACAGCACATCTTCTCTTCTCCCACAACTAAGGCAGGGAGGAGGATGGAAAGCATGCAGCATGGCTTCTTTGCCCTGCGAATGGGCACATCGTGGCTCCAAAGCCTCCTAAACCCTTCCCCCTTGGTTCTCCTGCAGGTTTCCCAGGGGACCCCACAATAGCAACAAGTTTTCTCTTCCCCCCTCATGGACCCAAAAGCCCCCTGAAGCTGAAGCCTTGTCCACTCATGGATTACTGCAGCACGCTCTAACAGGGGGCTGCCCTGGAAGACGGCCCGGATACTTCAATTGGTTCAGAACAGAGCTGCCAGGATGTTAATGGGGACCAGCCAGCTTTCACATATAACACCAGTCCTCTCCCGTTTACACTGGCTTCCAACTGAAGTCTGGGCACAATTTAAGGTGCTGGTTATGACCCATAAAGCCCCAGATGGCTTGGGTTCAGGATACCTGAAGGGGTGCCTTCTTCCCTTTGTGCCTTCCTGCCCCTTGAGATCTGAGGCAGAGGTCCTGCTCCATGGGCCCTCCTTGAAGGAGATTAGGAGGGAGAGCACCCGGAGGAGGGCCTTCTCTGTGGTGGTGCCCTCGCTATGGAATATGTTCCCCAGAGAGGTTCACCTGGTACCGACATTACATTCTTTTTGGCATCAGGCAAAACCACGACATTCACATGGTGGGCATGTCGTGAAGGGAGCCGGCTGGAGCCGGGGGTCAAACTAGATGACCCGCGAGGCCCCTTCTGACTCGCTCTGTTTCTCTGTTTCTATTCTCCTGCTATTTTAATGTTTAATTGATTTTAACTGGGGTTTTAGTATAGCAATGGTCAGATGCTGTGGGGTTTGTTTCACTGGGGACAGGATAGAAAAGCTTCTGACAGATTAAATAAATAAATAGCGACTGGGTTCAGGCTACACACCAACCCACAATGGCTTCAAGGCCGTGGTGCCTCTCTTCCCCTCAGGGGTGTTGTGCTTTGCATGGACTCTCATGGCCTGTCACTCTGGAGCTTGTTAAAAGTGACCTCTAGGGGAAAAGAGGCATAAAGCCTCAGCAAATGCCAAATGCTTCACGGAGTGCCTGTGACAGTCACTCCACGGTGCTGCTTGGGCACCCATTGGGTGGTCGTCACCAGCAGCGACTCCAGTGTAGCAAGTGGGATTTGCTGCTTTTGCTGAGTGACTTGCTCACTGCTACTCTGTATTCGCAGTGGGGTCAGTTGCATGGGCTCAGAATCGGGTTCAGCGGCCCAGGTTTGCATGATATGACAGCCCAGCACGATTGCACCCCCATAATAGGTCATTGTGCCATGCGAACTTAGTCATTGAGCAGTTTGTGAGTTTTCCACCCATCCGTCCAACACAAGGCAAAATTACAACCGGCCCCCTTCCTTAAGCACTTGGAGAAAATGTATGGGCATCACCACTGACACTGGGCTGTATGTAATTCATGAACATACCATGCCAACATAAGGATTGGCACGTGGGGGAAAGATGGTTCCAGACCCACTATTTAGCAATGTGATGCAGCTGATAAAAAGTGGCTTGAAAAGGGCAGCAAGTTCTTGCTTATTAGTGCCGTATTTTTACTGGCAGGCAGCGAGAGGAGTGGGGTTTTCTGCCTTGCTTGCCATAACAGCTTGGGCAGCCTCCGGTGTCATGTGCCTTGGCTTGTGGGGAGGGCACTTCTTGTTCCTCCCCCTCAGAAGCAAAACATCTTGGGCGAGCCCTGAGTGCATAAGTCAAAGTCAATTGAAAATGCCATGCTTAATAGTTTCAGGTGTACAAAGGCTGTGACGAGTGTGTGAGTTACCAGTGATTGATCTGGACGACAAGCACCTGGGCGGATGCACTCAGCACAGCTCTTCCTTACATTCACAAGAGGAACAGAATAAATGATTCCCAATAAGCCACGCTATGCAAACTCCTGTAATTTGCATACTGTATGAAGGTAGCTCAATTCTTGTGTGTGCTCCAGAAAAGTGCAAAGCATGCGTGGCCTTTCCTATAAATTGCTTGTGCCAGAGGAATTGCCCCCTTTACTGTGCGGTGTCGCAATCTTCCCAATATAATCAAGTGGTCTCTTGACTTTCCAGTCATGTGCCAACTCGACACACCAAGGGCATAGATTGGCTTACTGTGGTTCTCCCACCTGGGTGGAACTCTATCCTATAGAGACCTTGAAACCTGCACTTTCCGGTCATAGCAGACAGCACGTTAAATTGAGCAAGTGATACTTTAAATGCTAATGAGCTGTCCTGTGGGAGAGAGGAGTTAGATGGTTATGCAAAAGACTAGATTTGAATCACATTCTTATAATCCTGTGCAAGATTAACTCCGAACAGGTATCCACACGCAGGTGTTTGTTCCAGGACTAGGCGGAAATATAACTCACATTTTGACCCCCTTTTCAAGCTTAAATAACGAGTGTTTTTGCTATTTTCAAGGGTGGCACAAATTTGGAGAGCTATTGTGCAAACCTTACCTGGTTCCATTGCTGCTAGCTGCCTTATTAAATTTCTCACAGTGCACCCAGAAGGACACTGAGTCATGGTGTATCTTTGTCTCAAGGAACATTCGGGAAGTAATAATAGTATCCCCAGCTGATGGCTGCCTGTGGTCATGGGTATCAGTGTGGACACCTTTTTCTCCCCAAAATGCCCCTCAGCATGGCATAGGGTTGTTCCAGGGGAATTATGGGAATAGGATAGCCAGCAGTGCTGAGCTGCCAGGACAGAAGTCCCAACTCCACTGCTGTGGCAGCTAGAGCTCTTGGTCACATGACATGACTAAATCGTCATAGGTACAACCCCCAGTCAGAGCGATCAGGGGTTGTACCATATCACGTATACCTCGCTATTGTGGGTTATTCAAGGATTAAGGGGAAGGGTTATCTGAGGGTTGTTCAGCCAATAAAGCATGAAGGCTGGGTTTGCATGGCATGAGAAAACCCCAGAACACCCCAGTCATGGGTTGCATATTCAAAATGGTGGTCACACACACCTGGTGCAGCTTGTCTTAGATTGAATAATAAACCAGGCTTATAATGCATATCATGCAAACTGGCTCAGAATGTGGAGGTACAAAACAGTCCCCTCCCTGCAAGTTGGGAAATAACTTCCACAAATAATTCTGATTTCAAGCCTTTTCTACCTCTAATTTAAAAATGCATGACTAATTTGGGTCAGGTTGAGGGGGAAGATTTTTTTTTTTAGCTTCTCAGGTTTTTTTCTTTTACCTCTCTACAAAATCTCTAGGTAATTCTACAGGCTTCATTTGGTGCTCTGAACACCCTTGCTGATGTTTCTGAAGACGTGGTGCGTGGGCGAGGGGAGAAACTGCTGAACATTTCCACTCGCCATGTACAGCTGCTGAATCACATCCTCAAACACGTCACTTACACAAGTACAAAGTACATGCTGGATGCAGTGGACGTGGGTGAGTTCGAGGCCACTGCCGGGCAAGCCCTCCAGGGGCCTTTCAGCTGGACTCGCTTTGGGCTGGGCAGAAAATGAGTACAGAACATGGAGACTGAGTTCACAGAGCGCCTTAAGCCGGGGTGGCTTCTTGTGTTGTATAAATGCGGCAGCAGGGCTTGCTAACTACTGCAAGCCACTCTGGCTGGGTTCAGACAGCATGCCAAGCCACCCCTGCCTTCTAAGCCACCATGGCTTACTGGGATGGAGGAATCCAGTTAACTGGGGTTTTAGTATATTAATGGTTGGATGCTGTGGGGCTGCTCTATTTATTTATTATTGTAAGCCATCCCGAGACGTTATGTGCCCTCTCACCCCTTGAGATCTGAGGCGGAGCCCTCCTTGAAGGAAATTAGGGGGCAGAGCACCCTTCTCTGTGGTGGTGCCACAACTATGGAATACGCTCCCCAGAGAGGTTTGCCTGTTTCCAAAGTCTGTGTTTCTTCATCATCATCTGCATTAAAACTAGCATATTTTGGATAGTTTTAGAACTTTCCATCCATGCCTAGGCCTGAACAATCCAGTTCTCCTTACTTGACTAGATAAGGTGGAACTTTGCAATATGCTACTTTTCATGGTTACTCGTCGGGTTATTTGTGTGACTAGCCTTGGAAAGGAGTGTATTTTGGAGACTTAGAAATTGGTACCCATGCTTACTGCTGAAACATCCAGTCCTTCTTATGAGTAGATTCTAGCTGGAGTACATGGGGAGTTAGTGGGTTTCTCCCCAGGGAGAGTAGATTCTCCTGCCACTGTTCCGCACTCATGCACTTTAAGTTTACTTGATCCAGCTTCTTTCTCAGTACAACATGGGTGGTTGGAATGAAGAAATACTGCTTCAGAGAAATGTTTTTCTGTGGGTGCTGGTACTGTTGCTTATATCACTACTTGCACACCCAGCTTTGTTGCTTTACCAATTTGCCACACTTGGAAATTGTCTAATAAACCAAGTTATTTTGGTTCCATTTTGCATTTTTAAACAACAACAACAAAAATGACATGAAGCTCCCCTTCTGTGCTCAAGAAGTTTAAGTCACTTGATTTTCTGTGAAGTGGGAGATGTTGCTGCAACATGCTATGTGGATTCCTGCATCCCCCCCCCCCCACACACACACACACACACCATTTTGTACTCATTATCTTTAAAATTCTTGTGCCTCAGCTTCTGTGATATGAGCTGTTGGAGAGTCAAAAGACTCCTCTGCTTTTTTTTATGTTTCTATAGAATCTGTACTCTGTTTCATTAGCCTCAGTGGGCACCAACATCCACTGATTTTTCGCTAGCATGGCCCATACTGGGAAAAGTGGGAGTTGTAGTCCAACACATCTGAACAGCATCAGATTGGGTTGAGACAGGTTGATCTACTAAAAGACTTCAAAATAGAAGAGTAGATTTCCATCCAGCAATCATAGGGTAGTGGTTATGAAGTCATCTGTGGAAAAGGTGGCAGATGGTGGAAGGACCAATTGAACTATGGGGGGTAGCCATGCAACTGACAGCTAATTAATAACTTACCTCCCAAATGTTTTCCAGTGAACTTTACAATAGGAACTCATCAGGTGAGGTTTCCTGTGACCATCCGCCAGCCAGCCCTCCCAAGACTGTTTGACCCAGGACCAGGTGAGCTTTTGTTAAATGAGCAAAGAACCACTCCATGGCAACAGAGCTCACTGATCGCCTCCTTACGCAATCTAAGCCCTGAAAGCAAATGCATCTCTCCAGAATGTACGCTGCTTCAAATAGGATGTATATCAGAAGTTGACAACATCCTTTGGATTGAACGCAGCTGGCTGGGAGCAGTGCATGCTAAAGTGGGCAAGGCCAAAGCAAAAGGGGCAATAGGGAAAATGTGCACAGGCTTGTAAGCTGAGCTTCAGAAATCCTAAGCTTTAATGAGTACATTTTCATTTACAATTGATTTTAGTGCTGCTGTAGCTGAATAATGGAAGAATTGTAGTGGCGCTGGAGGAGCTCGTGCTGCAGCCTCCTTTTTCTGTTCTTCTTGTCCTCTCCTTGGTATTTCTTGCATCTGCCACTGATGCTGGCCAGGACTCCACTGGCCAATCAGATTAAAGTGGTGGCTTCTAAGGGCAGGGAGGTTGATGGAGACCAAGGAACTGGCTGGAAAATGTGTGCAGTCGCTGGATCTCTCCAGCAAACCATGAGGATCCATTCAGCTCCTCCCAGACAGCTAGGATGGGAGAAGCAGCATGCACGCAGGGCTGGCCTTTTGCACATGCTGGAAACCCCGGGGTAAGAGAAATCATTCCAAATCTGTGGGAGGCGACTACAGTTAGGCACAGTGATAACAGCACCCCAGGCTTGTCTTGCACAAGACTTGCTACTAACTGTGGCAGGGAAAGCCTCTACCAATGTGTGAGAGTTAATGCAAGACTTGTAGGCCCAATTCACTTCAGTTCTTCACAAAGCATGGTTAATTAAGCCACGAATTTGTGATAGGGCAAACTCTCCAGCTTCAGGGCAAAGATTCTGGCTTTGTAGTATTTCAGGGCCCTTTTGTAGTGGGCTGTGCCAAAGTCCTCACTAAAACCTGAATTTCAGGGATCTGCTACGACTCAAGGCATTTAACACTGTTCAGATTAAGTAAGGCTGCTCAGAGATAAGCACCATGGAAAACTCCAGTTGCTGCTGTGGCAGGACGCCAGACAGGATGGCCTGTACAACGCTGCAGCCAGAAGGGGAGCCAGAGGGAGTCTTAAGGGTTTGGTGGGCTTTAGCTTCCATACTGACTAATGTTTGGCCTCTTACAGGGCCTTTAAACAAAGAATTCTCAGGGGCTGATGACATGGGAGTGACCAAGTATCCTAGTATCCTCATGTCCCATGACGTCAGAGTCTGAGCACAGGAATCTCTTGGGTCTTTCTGGAGGACTGGATCATGAGGAGCTGAAACCCTCCTGCTTCTTTTCAATGCAGAGTCATCTCCCCGAATCGTGGAGCTTTTCCTTCCAAGCATGTGGGGCCAGGTTCCTCTGAAAGCAAGACTGTGGAGTTCTGTGTCTATGACAGGCCTATATTGAGAGTTCCTCATTGTCTCTGAAATGAGGAATTCTGATTTAGTGTTGTTAACACACTGTATCCTGGTTTATTTTCCTGGTTTGTTAACTGACATTAAGCAAGAGCTCCCTGATTGGACATAATGGGGAACTCTGGCTTAATACAAGACGAGGTGTTTGTGGTGAAGTCAGTGCACAGTGGGAGGACGGGCAATGGAGGAAGCGCAGCTTCGACACCCATTCCTGACCTCCTATATCATGATCTAAGAAAGCCGTGGAGATTGTCTGAACAGGACCAAACAGCACTGATATGGAAACTAAAATCACACAGAGCTTTGATTGTATAAGCTCACACTTAATTTCTTCTTTGTGCCCCAGATAACAACATCAATAATATGGTGACCATCACAACAAAGACTTTCTTGCGCTACCACAAGCTGCGAGTTCTCATCAAGAGCATCAGGCTGTATTATCCAAATATGACAATAATTGTCGCAGATGACAGTGAAAACCCAGAAATGATTAAAGAGGCCAATGTGGAACAATTCATTATGCCTTTTGGAAAGGTACTCAGGCATATGCAGCTGGAAACTCATCTGAGAGGGATGGTGCAACTTGGTGTTCTGCAGTAGCAAGGGGATAGATCCGGCGACCCTCTTGGCCCCTTCCAACTCTACTATTCCATGATTCTTTGATATGGGAGTGGCTTCTTCATTTAGCGCCACTAAAGAGTGCTATTCTCTGGTTCTTTGAAAAGTTAGCAGCTCCTTGGCATTCTCGTAACCCTACGGAAAGGAGAGGCATGAACAGCCATGGAGTTCTCTCACTTTACAAGTTTTGTGCTATTAAGAGACACCATTCCCCTCGGCTAACAGAAGTGACTGGATGGGGAAGGGTCACAGGATAAGGCCTTGGTGGATGAAGGTTCTGTCCTTTATTTTCTCATCCTTGCAAAGTTATTGGCATCCCTGCCCCAGTGCATCCCCCTGCTTCACCCTCAGAGTGCTTGCTCCAGGATCCCATTCATCTTTCCTGCCCTCTCTCCTTGCAACCAGTCAGCCCTGAACCTCAGCAGGTCTCCAGACATGGCACTGTAGATGCTCCTTCCCATTGGCCAGATGCTGTGGCTGAAGGCAAACCTTAACAAGGAAAAGGGGGCCAAAATGATGAACAGGTTGGAGCAACTTTCCTATGAGAAAGCTTCCAGCATCTGGGATTGTTTAGCATAAAAAAAATAAAATAAAAAGACGAGTACAGGGAGACCTGATGAGATATGCAGAATTATGGCATGGAGAAAGTGAACAAGAAGTTTACTCCCTTTCTCATAATATCACAACTACAAGTCCCGTGTAGGTGATAGCAGAACTGATAAAAGGAAGTACTTCTTCACACAGTGCATAATTCAGCTATGGAATTCACTTCCATAAGATGTACAGACGGCCACCAATTTGGATGGCTTTAAAAGGAGACTGGACATATTCATGGAGCTGAAGGCTATCAATGGAGTCCTGATGGTTCTGTGGTACCTCCATAGTTAGAGGCAGTATGCTTACATGCACCGGTTGCTGGGGATCGTGGGTGCGAGGTGAGGTTGCATACATGTCCTGCCTGTGGATTTCCAAGGACAGCCGGTTGGCCACTGTGTGGTCCAGATGAACGTTGGCCTGATCCAGCATAACTTTTCTTATGATCTTACCTCAAACTTTTGCCTTTGCCAGCTGATCACTCATGAACCTCTTCTCAGCGGGCCCCAGGCGACAATTGTGTTTCCTGAGAAGATGGGGGCATCTGAGCTCCCATCGGCAGCAGCTGCCCCACCCTTTAGATGACCCCAAATGCCAGGCATTGGCATGGTATGGTGAGCAGTCTGAAACAGCAGCAGGCTACCACGAATGGGAACCGTGTGCTCAGCTTGGTCAACAGCTGTGGCATCACCCACACTCCGCAGGCGGAGTCAGGCACTGGTGGCCCTCCTGCGGCTTCCTGAGCAGGGGGAGTCCTGATACTGGTCCAGCTTGCAGGCTTTGCTCTTTGTCCTCCTCCCACACCCCCAGCACCTCATTCTCTGAGCAGTGCTTTGATGGGCCCTTTACACTGCTTGAGATAGCTGGGGCCTTTGTGGGGAGAAGGGAGAATCACATCAAGGAAGGAGGATGGGGGATACCAGGTAAGAAAGAAGAGAAGGGAAGTCTTCCTTCATCGCTTTGTCTTCCTTGTTGGCCCCAGAGCTATCTCCCACCAGCTGCTTTTTGAGACAATTTGAGAAAAGCAGCTGTCATCCTTTCTGGGTCGCCAGCCTGCTTGTCTATTATTTCCTCGTGTATCTACTGTATCTATAATGATTGGCACTCACACTCAATACCTGTAATTATGCATAAGTGGGAGATATTCACATGCATTCTGCACCCTCAGTCACACAGTAGGTTGGAGCCAGATTTAATCCACTCGGAGTGGAACCATTGAAATTAATGGGATTTAAGTTAGTTATGTTTTACTGAAGACCCATCGATTCCAGTCAGTCTGCTCTAAGTAGTTGATAAGCCCATTCGTTGTGATTGTAATATATTTTGCTGATGTTTGTGATTTGCCTTGGAAGGATGTTTTATCCTGAAAGGCAGGTTATGAAAAATTATAATAAATGGACTAGACCTGGCAGAATGCTTCAGAGGGATGGGAGGGTATGGACTTGACAAGAGTGTCCCAGCTTTGTGTGCTACTTTGGTGGCACAGGGACCATGGCAGTGCAGCTCGCCTGGGTAATGTGAGAAGCTTGCAGGAACAGCCAACACTCCCACATCTTTTCACACCACTGTAAGCCTCCGGAATCGTAAGCTGACACTGGCGTAGGCAGAAGATGCAACCCTGCGCTCCTGCGTGGCCTGGAATGTCTTGCACTGCCGGCCCCGGTGCAAGAAGGAGCTGCACTCTCATGATTCCCACATCGCAAGAACTAGGCTTTAGAGCTGTTGCTGGAATGAAAGTCAGCGTGGTGCAGTGGCTAAAAGCACAGGGCTGGGACTTAGGATCCCTGGGGTCTATTCCCCGCTCAGCCATAGAGCCAACCAGGTGACTTTGGGCCAGCCACAGACTCTCAACCCACCTACCACACACAGTTGTGTTGTGGAGAAAAGATCAAGAGCAAGAGGAGGAGAATGTTGTAAACTGCTTTGTGTCCGTTGTAAGAAAAAGGTGGGGTATAAATCTAGTGAGTGAGGAAGAGCTACTGTATAATATCAGGGCCAGCGCATCTCAAATTGCCTGTTTGAGATGAAAGACAAGGCAGCACCCACTCTTCTTCCATGTGCAAATACTGACCAGGCCAGCAGCTGAATCTTCTCCAGAGCTGTTGATGGTTCATGCATCCCCTACTGCATCTGAACATCTGGTGAGCTTATGGGTGGATTGCATCTCCTGCATTGCCTAACGGGAGGGCTGGCCTTGCGCAGTCCAGGTCCATCCCATGCACTGCAGGACTTCTCACTATAACCTGGAGGCAAGGGAAGGAACAGCAGTGAAGGAGCATTCCCAGCACTGGAGCAACATAGGAACCAGACTCAAGGTAGCTTTCAGGCATATGGCATTTCCTCAGATGGCTGGGAAAGGGGAGGTGCTACTTTGATTTCTCCACTGAAATGATATCCCATATGTCAAAAGATCCAGCTGGCCTGCCATTCGCCCTACAGTACCGCCTCCTTTTCCTCTGATGCCTTGCTTCAAAACCTTTACCACAGCATACAATAATTGATAGGCAGAACTGCTTTTTCACTGGAGAAAGAGCTCCTGAGTCACTGGGACAGCCTCTGAACATTTGTCTGATGCTTCCTCCTGGTTTGCTTCATCAGGGCTGGTTTGCAGGAAGAAACCTTGCCATCTCTCAGGTCACAACCAAATATTACCTCTGGGTGGATGATGACTTCCTGTTTACTGACCAAACCAAGATTGAGAAACTGGTGGACGTCTTGGAGAATAGCAACTTGGATGTGGTATGAAATTTAGCCTATTAACCTTTCCTCCAGACTCCTGGTGTAACTGTATCCTCTGTTAGTATCTCAGCCTGTGATTTTTTTAAATCATTCCTAGAAGCTGGTTGGATCCAGTTTTAGGTGCATGTAACAGAGCTAGTGGTGGTTGAGTTCCCTACTCCTCTTTAAGAAATCAAAGGCAACTCTTTAAAATATTGCACAGAAGGTTGGGGGACACTGCAAGATGGAATAAGTTGTGGTGGGGGAACGGCGGATCCCTGAAAGTCAGGCTGGAGTCAAACCCTGAAAACCCATCAGATGCACCTTCTGCTGTCAATGAACAGCATATCCTGCATCCAACTTTTGGTTCGTAAGTGGGGTGGGCCTGGATCATAACATACTGAAAGTCCAGGGTGGCTGCTAGAAACTTTTGTTCTCTCGAGGCCATTCAACAATAGTAATTCACCAACGTGTTCTGCATTTAAATTATAACTACAGCTTAGTTAGATAAACTTACCTTGCAATCCTATGCAAGTTGTCTTGGAAGTGAGATCCACCTCATTCAATGGGGTCTACTCTCTCCAGTAAGCATGTATCAGATTGTTGCCTGGTTAAATACATGCCTGTTAGTTGGTAGAGCAATCAAACCTGCATGAGTTTGTGCATGAATTAAAATAATGATTGTGAATGGGAAGTATACTATTTTTTATTTCAGATTATGTATTCATGTGTTACAGCAGCTACCATCTTAAAGTATTTCTCTGTGTGCATCTGCAGAGAAAAAAGAATGCATTTTCTGATCCAGCACCTACAGTGTTTGCAAATAGTTAGGCTAGAAACATTAGATTTATGTGTGGTGTGTCTATATTTGCTATCACACAGGTTTTTAAAAACCCTTGTACTAAAAATAATCATAAACACAAACAGCACACTTTATGTATTTGTTTCTTATATTCTGTATTAATTAGTCCAAAGGACTCTCTAAATGGTTTATAGAAAAACAATAATGATAACAATGAAAGCAAAATATAAACATCAAATAAAGCTAGCCAAAAATGGATAGCGATATGCAATAATGATAATGCACAATAAAGCATATAAACGAATAGTAACAATATACAATAACAATATACAATAGGCAGCTGAGAGATTAGGAGTGAATAGGATTAAATTAGTATGTTAAATATATATAGCAATATATTATTAGGGCATCACTAGGGGCAGATTTGCGCAGTGCATCCTGATGCATGATCACACGCGTCCAGGATTTTTGGCTAAATAGCTGGGGCAAGGGAGAACTCTCTGGACCAGGAGTGTGGGGAGGGCTTAAGACCAAAAGCCAAAGTAGCCAGGCCAAAATCCCCTAGATATTATTTATTTATTTGGCTCTTTTTTACCCTAATAATATGTTGCGGGCCTCTGGACAGCTTACAAGATATCTGCAGATCTCTTACTCAAACAGTGAATGCTGAGTCTTTTAGAAAATGCAGCAGTAAACATGATAACGCTTTTGCTCTGAAGAGGCAGAAAGGTGTGCCATCTATTGCTGCTACTAACTCTAAGAGAGGCACGAGGGGGTGCGAGGAGACAGAATGACGCAAAAGCCGGGAAAACATCAAACCATTGCCAGTGGAGGCTGGTGTCTCTAGGGTCAGTGGAGCAGCATATCCATTCTGAGTTTTAGTCTGACCTTTAAAGGTAGAATCAGTGGTGATGAACCCCACCTCTTGTTCTGACCATGGTGTCCTGCTCCAAGCCAAGGTACCCTAACTTAGGTTTGAGGATACTTAGGAAGATACAAAATAAAGCTTACACTCCCCTTCTCCAGCCCATTGGTCCCCTAGGTGAGCAACGCATCAAATTATCTTCCAGGCTGTTAAGAAAAAATAGCACCTCTTGCCATGTATTTTATACATTTCCTCTCTCCTGCTATTGTGGAGCTTGTCAGCATGCACCCAGGCTCTCTCCTTCTTTTCCTGGGAGCAAAGCTGTTTCAGTAAGGCACACGGTTTTGTTCTCTCAGCAGAGGCAGCTCTTATCTACAGAATGACTGGGGAAGGCAGTTTCAAGGCCATTCTCTCTGGAGCTCTTCTTAACAAGCTGAAGGCCATGAGATCTTGGCAGACTTTCAAGAAATTATTCTGATGTTTGGACACTGAGAAAGTTCATTACATGACCTGTTGAGTCTCAGTGTATCCTGGACATCCTTGCCATTCTTCTGGTGGAGCCTGAACAATGACCTTGCAAACTAGGTTCAGCACCATGGATAGTGCCTTAAAAGTTCTGACTGCTGCCCAGGGAGGGCTCTCACATGGGAGTTGCCTGTCTCCCTGGGTGATTTGCTCTCGGGAACAGGGTGGGCCAAGGGAGAGGGATCCCAGGTGGCTGTATCAGGCCCGCAGTCCTGAGGTTCAATAGTCCTGCTTTAAAGGAACAGAATATAAGGATGCCAACAACAATTGTAGGAGAAAGCTGAGCAGAGCTGTGTGCTTTACAGGTGGGTGGCAGTGTGGCTGGAAATGACTACAAGTTTAAGATCACCTATGAAGAAGGAGAGGACAGCAGCTGCCTGCACCTCCGATATGGCTCGTACCACCGCTTGGAAGGCTTCCCCAACTGTGTAGTCACCAGTGGCGTGGTCAATTTCTTCCTCGCTCGCACAGAGGAGAGCCGGCGTGTTGGCTTTGACCCAAAACTTCTAAGGGTGGCTCACTCAGGTAAAACCCACACCCCCATCCCCCAGCTCCAGAGATTTGTCCTAAAAATAGTCTCTTCTCTTGACCGAAGATTTATTATATTAGACCTCACTTGGCACACTCTTGTTCAACTGCTATTAAATTTCATTTGTTTAGAACTGTGTGGTAATGTTGAAACTTCCTAAATTGCAGTCCAGCTTAGGGAATTTTTTTCATGATGAAAAGGTAAGACAGAAGACATAATTTGCACTATTCAGTCTTGTTTTGAGGAAGACTCTTGTTAAAAAATGTTTCTCCAATCTATTGCCCATCAGATATGTTGGACTACAATTCCTAGCATCCCCTAGCCAATCATGCTGGCCATAGATTCAGGGAATTGTAGTTCAACATATTTGGAAGGTACCAGGTTGAGGAAGGCAGACTTAAACCAATCATCTAGAGATGGGGCAATGGGGAGAGGTGGAAATTAGTCCTCCAAAATTTTGTTTCTATACTTTGGGACTTAGGAATTCCGGGAATGCTTTTTGGAATAGGAATTCCCAGATGAGAGGGTAAGGAAATGCAAAAACGCAAAATGCATCACAATAATGATGTGCTATGACAGATGAAGTTACTTCCATGAAAACTGCATGCTGATTTTGTTGGGATGTTTACCAATTCAAAACTGTTAAGCCCCCTTCATTCATGTCATCCATGCGTAGGCAAACATGTGGAGGGTGAGCACGGCTTGCATCCCCTGGACCCACCTCCACAATGGCACACTGTGCGCTGCCCTTTCCTCACAGCCCCAAAATCACATAGGCTTGAAAGTGGAAACGGCTGTATGAACAGCTGCAGTCAAGCTCTCTGGGTGATAAAGTGTGTAGACAATGTGGAGTGCTTACTCATGAGCATCACATGCATAGCATTCCTCTTTCAGGCTTGTGCCCATGCCAAAATGTTGGAAGGAGGATGTATGGTCCCGCAGTGTCTTGCTTTAGTTTACTTATGTGTGGAATACATATATCAGAGATGGCCAGGCTTGCCCAACGGAAAAGCCACATACGTTTGAGAGTTGCAAGCAGGTGCCCACAGATGGCAGTGGTGGTTGGGGAACAGCAAGCAAGCCAGCTGTGGGAGCAGGTGGTCAGCAGGAAGTGGGCGCCCATGGGCACCAGCAATGGCAAGCCCCAAAATAAATTCGAAGAGCCTCAAGCAGCTCTTGAGCCTCGGTTTGGCCACCCCTGGCATATATAAAAGGATCTCTTGCACTCAAAGTAGCGATGGAGAGAATTTCATCTGATTCACATCTTAATCTGAATTTCCTTAGTTTTGCACTCTACAGACTGAAATACCGTTTTTTGGTTCAAATTCATGCTTCTCTGAATTTTCTAATGACATTCGCCAATCAAAGAAATGTGTACACAAATGTCTAAAGGGAAGTGGCATTAAAATGTCTTTTGTTAAGAAATCTGGTTGCAAATTTGTATATTAGAAAAAAATCATTTATTTATTTACTTAAAACATTTCTACCCTGTCCTTACCTGAAACGGATCTCAAGGTGGTTTACAAAGCAATAACAGTACATTAAAATATAATATAAAAATATGCAGTAGAATTCCAATTATATAATAAAATATCAACCTTAAAAATACTGGTTTGGCCTGTCAAACCTCACTCTCACTGGCAGGGGGAAAGGGTGAGTGCATAGAGGGAAACATGGGGTGGGTCAGAGCAGCCCTGCAGTCCTCAGTCCACTGGCCAGTTGTCGCAGCTCCTCGCTGGCACCAGCATCCTAAATCCACTTCCTAAGAGAAGTACAAAGATGCTATTTTTTAAAAAAGAGATCAAAATCTGAGGAGAATTGAATTTAAGATCAGAAAAATGAGAAGCTGAGAAAAACTGCAATTGAAAGATTTGTCTAACCCCATTTCAAAAGTTTGCCTCACAATTTCTTCCACAACATACTGACTTCTCTCTTCCTTTTCCTTTCCACAAATATTTTCTTCAGAATATTTTATGGATGGACTGGGGAATTTGCGGGTTGGATCCTGCAACCATGTCGTCGTCGGTCACCAGCCACGCCATTCTGCAACTAACTCTCAGGAAGAAACCTCAGAGAAGACTTACGGAAAATTTCGGATGAGTACACAGGCAGAGGTTCGGTTTAAGCTAGCTTTGCATTATTTTAAGAACAGGATGAAATGCTACACAAAAGCTTAACTGCACTCTTCCAGCTCACTACTCTTTCTCAGGTGGGACTTTTCTGAGTGATCTTGAACTGAACTCAGTGCTTCCAATTATCTTGTTCTGGAAACTGCCCCTTCTGGCATGGAACCACAAGCTGCCAAAAGAAATTTTGGACTTGAATGAAAACTCCAGTTCTTCTTCATAGTCTCCGTGCATCACACATGTGGACTTTTGTGCCTGTGCAGAGCCTGCTGTCAGGAATCTTCCATGGTTAAGCATTCATTTTGGGTGGAAACCCTTCCCCTTCCAGTTCCTTTCTTTTTGACTGCCATGCACCTAGGTTTGGAATCGCTCTGCTCTTTTCTGTCTTAGGTATTCAACATTCTTGCTTTTTTTCCCTCTCATTTTCCCCTCTCCTTATCCAGACTAATGCCCTTTGTTCCTCTCTCCTCCACAACCTGTTACTTCACTATTTTTTCTTTTTTAAAAAAAAAGAATCTACAGAAAGTATATATATTTCTACCCACTTTCCCATCCACCACTGCTCAACCCTTCCCAAGTTGCCTGTGATTTCCTACCTTCTTTCTACACTTTTCCCACCTTCTTCCCCATCCACGCATTGTCAGCAGCGGAGGCTTTTAGGAGCTGTGCCTCCTGTTCTATGTCTTCCCTCCTTTCCCCCTAATCACCTGGACAACTGCAAAGATCAGGAGGGACAGGACACACCGTGGTGGCTGAGACACCTGTGGTGCTTGGCTCCTCCAACTCTCCCAGGTGGACTTCATTCACCTGCCACACAGACAGGACCTCATCCCACAGGACCAGGGCCAAATTCTGCACCCAAACATCAGGAGCCTGTGCCTCATGGTCTGGAGGATCACCTCCTAGAGCAGAGGGGAACACCACTTCTGCTCAGAGTGACGGCCATGCTAGATGCAGCCATGAAACTACCCAGAAGAAGGTCTTACTCGGCACAGTTTGCAACCTTTGCACTACAAGAAGGCTTCAACTTAAGATGGGACACCATCAAACAAATCCTGCATTTCCTGCAGACCCACTTCCAGAAAGGCCTCATCCCCTCATTGATCCGTGTATACTTGGACTAAAAAACCTCAGCCCACCGGGCTCTGCATCCCAACATGGAGCCCATCAGTGGTGCTACATGCTCTCATCAAACGATTATTTGGACCCCTGGCCACAGTGGACTTGCACCTCTTATCCTGGAAGGTGGCTTCCAAAGGGCCTTCTCCACCTGGATGCAGCCTTCCTACCCAAGGTCATGCTTAGCTATAGAAGCTTCCTGACAACAGGCTATGAGAAGGTGCAAAGCCCATTTGTGCAAATGCACAGAGGATCACGTGAAAAACAACAGTTATAGGCAAGCAAACAGCCTTTCGACTTTAAATCTCATTTTCTGGGACTTCTCAGTTATGGATCCTTTCAAAGCAGGACCATAACGATGAAATTGATGCCTGAAGTGCCTCTGATATTTCTGTTTTCTGGTATTGTTAAGTATGCAGTTCAACAAAGATGTTAAATTCTATACTGTGAGATGGAGACCATTTTGTGTCCGCACTTTATAGTGTGGTGACACATGGGATCTCCAACCAAAGGTTGCCATGTGGAATGCTCCTGCTCAGGTTAGCCCGTTCCAAGGGTATTATTCATCTGGGATCCATGGAGCCCTGGCTCCAAACCCGCTTCTCAGGGTCGCAGGATCTACACCACACATTTGTCCATGTGTTAAGCTTAATTGTTCTTCTCAGTATAATTGCCATGCAGGCCACAATTCTCCAGGGGAAGGGTTAACTTCCCTTTCCCACATACTGCAACACTTCCCCAGCATCACCAGTAAGCAGATAAGAAAACTTTTTCTCTTTTGGTTTTGGATGACTGCAAATTAATTGAAAGATGTATTTTAGTTTATTTGGATGAGAAATTAATGGACTGATTTTGCCTCCTGTGAAATGTGCACAAATTCTAGTAATGTTTTCAAAATTTACATAACACTTACACACTAACTTGGTTTTCTGTCCTGTAAGTCTGGGCCCCAAATCTTTTAAATGCCTAGCAACATCCCTCCCTCCCTCCCTCTCTCCCAGTTTCATCCCACCCAATCATCTTGTCAGCATTTTGTGCCTGGTGTGCATACTTAGTCCTGAAGGGGCCACCGGGATAAACCTACTCCAAATACTCACCTATTAGTTTCCACCCAGCCCAAATGGATTTTGTACTCCACAAAGCATGTTTTCCCCATGCTGATGCCTTGCTCTTGTACACGGGCAGTGCTGTTTTCAGTACATAAGGACACTTTGAGAATGAAAATGGCTCTTGGCATGTTCACCAATGATAATATCTAAAACTGAGGAGTAGAATCCAGTAGCTTGTGCAGAAAACATGGTGCCTGGTTTGTGCACCTAGTTTTTTCTTCTAGAGTTGAACTAACATGGGAATGAAGAAATAGTTGTCTCCAAATTTGCAAGAGCGGAGCAGGGCTGTCACAGGACATTTTGGAGAATTTTCATTCATAGGGTCACTAGAAGTCAAAGATGACGTCCTTTCTCGAGATTGCTGTTTTTATGTACCTGTTTGCTTATGCTTACGCTTTTATTTAACATGCTTCGCAGCCTCCTGTGAAACAGCAAGGAGTGCCTGGCTTCAGGGTACAGTGTCCTGGTGCCAATGTGCATTTACTCCGGATATTGGGCTGTGCTCTGGAAGCTGAGAAGGGAGATACCTCTTTCTCTCACCCAGGGTGAGATGGGCACTGCTGGCAAGCTGCTTCGCACATGCTATGCGGCCACAATGGGTACATTCACTGTAAGAGAACAGAGCAGGCCCAGGGCCCGCAGCAGTCGTGACAGGACAGTGCTGGGACGAAATGAGCGAAAGCTCTGCCAAAATATGGCTGCTGGAAGCCTGGCACTTTAGACTTAAGGTGGGATTCCTGAGCTGCATGTTGCAAGTCTTGCTGCCCAGGTACGCCTTAGATATCCGAATGTGTGCCTGTCCAGAAGCTCCTTTAACCCACCTCAGACATGCGAATGTTTGCCTGTTCTGAAGGTTCTTCTTTGTGTGTTGTCTTCATCCATTCAACCATATTGTTTTGCTCTCATGTGCCTCTTGCAAGCTGTTCAAGTGTTGAACTGCGGTCCAGATCACAGGATCATAGAATTACAGAAGAGTAGAATTGGAAGGGGCCAGAAGGACATCAGGTCCAATCCCCTGCTATTGCAGGACACCAAGTTACACCATCCCAGATCTGGGGTCTACGTCCCTCTTGGCCAGGAAACTCACTGAGTAACTTGGGGCCAGTCATGGACTCCCAGCGTGACCTACCTCACAGGTTGTTGTTGTGAGCATAAAATAGAACCTTGCAAACAGTTTTGGCTTCCTTGCGAGAGGAAGAGAAATGGAAAATACAATCGAACCTCAGCTTTTGTTTAACTTTCATATTGATTTGTGAGTTTGCCTACAATCGATAAATGTGATTTTAAAGGTTTTGTGGCCTACTGCAGAAAATTGCAGATGCCACACATAGACTAGAATAGAGTTGATCTATACAGGTATTTTTCCGAAACATACTTCCTGGCCACTAGTTCTACAGGTTATTACCATATATACTGACATATAAGATGATCCTTGAAATCAAAAATAGCAAACCAAAAAGGGGGGAGGGGAGGTCATATACACCAGTATATATGGCTTATCAAAGGGGAAAAAGAGAAATTTATTGAAACTAGTGCTGCAGCTGCAGCAATGAACATGAACACACAGAAAGAGGGGAAGGGAAAGAGGGAGAAGAAATCTAGTACATGTATGGTCAACAGTATTAACATTTAAGGTTTGCAGGGGCGTGCTGGAGATATTCACCGTTTTTCCATTTTTTGGAGGGGAACTGTACCCCCAGTCTCTGCAAATATGAAGGACCAATTGTAAATATAATGTAAGTATAATAATAATCTGTGAACTAATTAAAAACATTTTGAGAATGTGTACAAGTACCTTTTGTTGACTACTGAATGCTCCAGAGAAACCATTGTGTGATTGTTACATGTTTGATTAAATATGATTCATAGGTGTTCAACGAAAATCCACATTTTTAAAGAAACCACTGTGTGTGTGTGTGTGTGTGTGTGTACACACATGCATGTGCATTGGTTTATCACTGGTTCACCTCTGAAAGGACATACTATTGCCCAAGTTAAAAGGTCCTTTATGAGATCTATCTCAAAGCACCCATGGATGCATCTGGTGTAACTTTAGGTAGCCCAAGGGATACTTGAGTTCTGCATCCCAAACAGAGCAGAACTCTGTAGGTTGAGCAGATTGGGCCCAGTTGAACCAGGCACCTTTAGCTCTGTACATCTAAGGATGGGGAGAAACATGAGGGATATTAACAATGACTTGCTTTGCAGGACTGTAAAAATTTAAATCTGTTCTTAAGGTGTTAGAAGGCTTTGTACGCATAGGTTGCCTGTGGCAGGCTGACCTCTCGGGAAGCTGTATGCTGAACTGAAGCTGAATTCCTTCATTTTTATCCCTGCTTTTTTTCCCCAAATTTTATTATTTTCTCTACAAATCTAAAACTAAAACAACAATTATTCCCAAGACATCGGACATACTGGGTTGACATCCTACTCTTTTTTTTACAATCAATGACCCTATTCAATGCTACACATAGTCCCATTTCTCTAACCAATAATAAAAAAGAGTTCCAAGTTGGATAGAAGTATGTATCTTCTCTTTCAAAGACAGTCCATCTGTCCATTTCTGCCCAATCCAAAATCTTTTTGTTTTTATCCCTGCTTATTTAAACCCAGCTCAAGACAGGCAATCTTCCCCTGGCTACGATGGGCCAGCCTCTAAGGCGGTGATGTGGAACTGCAGGGCTGGGACCACAGGCAGCCCCCTGGTCACTCCATTCCAGCCCACTGGGGGTCTTCTAGACCCCAACCCCAACCATATCCGTTTTCAGTCATTGATGCAGTTCCCCCCTTCTTAGAAAACTTGACATGCCTCTCCTGAGGCTT